TGTTTTTCACACACATGGTCTGAGTCGACGTGTGGGTGGCAGAGACTATGATACAAGTGTCTTTGGTCACAGGCATCTTGGGCCTGTGTTTTTCAATCTCTGCTGCCTCTGGAACCCTGATTTCTTCTGCTCAATGGTCTCTATATGTCCCCTTGAGAAACTGAAACTAGTACATGTGTAATATGTATTTTGTTTCTGCTCCCAGCTGCTTGGGGTACTCTTTGAGTATCCTTTCCAACGACTGTCCTTCAGCTTGGTTCAGGAAAAATGAGTGTGAGGGAGCTGCCAATTCGATTGGCAGTGGATGAGCACTCTGGTTCTGGTTGGATGTTACCTAGAGTCTGCAGGTATTATTGACTGTCTCTTCCACTGGGGACAAATGACCTGTGTGACAGAGCTGCCAATCAAAGATTGGCAGCAGAGGAGCACTTTGATCTATGTTACTTGTGTCTAGTAGTGCAGCTGCTACTATCCCCTCGGCTGGGCACAAATACAATTTTGTAGCCACCAATACAGACCAACTCTGAATCTGTCAGCGTGGCGGGGACTTTTATGGTATAATGATGGCAGGGCCACAGGAGGGCAAAGTATGAATGAAGGGGACATTGCACATACAGATCTAAGGGCTTTTGATATGTGCATAAGAAAGAGTGATGTATACATCAATTGGAACATTTATACACCCAATGCTATCACTTATCAGACACAACTCAGGACTCGTGTCCTGCCATGCATAGCAATGGCCCTCTACTGACAGGTAGTGTCATTAGAAATGTTGTAGTCGGACTACAAGTCGCGCCGGCTGCGAAGTCTCTTGCTCCTCGACGCTCGCTCGTTTGATGTTTGGATATAATATACTCCTATAATCAAGGACAAGATTAATGCCATAGATGTCTACCTTCGTCTCGGGACGCGCTAAGTCTCGAGATCTTGCGGACTACAAAACTCTTTCTAGTCAGATTCCGATCAACGTGAGGACAGGGCGAAAATTCAACTCAGACAAACTCAGCTGCCAAAATGTAAGCAGCCGGTCGGCGAATTAGAGTTAACAACGCGTATACTGGATTCCCACGCCAAATGTACCAGCCTGTCTACCGATATTCTGTCCTCAATAGCGGTACGACAGGTCACGAGCCTATGATATTCCCGATGAGACCTCTCCTCGTGATGGTATCCCACAACTCCGTCTTGATAATCACGGGCGCAACGGGCGACTTGGAAGGACCGACTAGGCGATAGAAAGGGATAAACACTGCGCCAAAGCTGCAGAGGCATTCGATGAGCCATACACGGGGCATATGTCGTTTGCTTACCAGTAGCATAGTACCACGTGCCATCCATACTCCCTCCACACCTCTCGCAGCCCGGGAGCCGCGCCTATGTCCTTGGCGAGCGTTGATAAGCCTCAGGATCGTCTGACCCCCGAAAACGCGGATTCAGCACATCATACAAGTGCCCCGGAGCTTATTCGACACAGCGCTCGCACGCCTCTAGGCTTCTATGGGCTCTAAAAGACTTTTTCTATTTAGCTCCGGACTTCCCAACATCCTCGAGGCGTACTCGGACCCATTCCGCGATTTATCTCCGCGCACCGAAGCTCCGGAGTGACTTAACCAATGCGACTTCTAGCTGAATTAGCTCCGGGACCCGCGGACACTTCTATCGAGGGGCGTCTTCCTCATGCCCACCCTCCAGCACTCACTCCCCCTCGTTTCCGTCAAGATACCGAAGGTGCGGACGCATACGAGTCACCATAAGGTCAGCATCAGTCAGCAAACGGCCGGAGGTAATTAACACGTGACCGGCGTGTCGCACGGAGTGATGGGACCACTTGGGTCAGGTGGCGAAGCATCGAGGCGACCTATAGGGGCTGGAAAGAGCAAGTGGGAGCGCAAGAGAGTCGTATGGTGCATGGTATAGCGGTGGCAAGTGCTGAGCAATCCTGTGGGTAGCGGCGTTTATTTGTTATTTATCTCCGAACGGTCGCAAAGCCATTCCTGTAGTATAAATTGTACAAAGTAGTGTACAGAAAAATAAGTTTCGACTTCACCATCTCAGAGAATTAGAGTTACGATCTCAGCGACCGAGAAGTTCGAAAGCGTCGAA